CAGGAAAATCAGGTGAAAACGAGGCTGATCACTTTTTTCAGTAGCTTGGTAGCATTTTCTAACCAACTCATTAATATTCAAGACAAGTCTGTCAATTAATTTTTGGCGAGCAGAGCTATCGAAAAATCGTCCCGACGAGCGACTAGCCTAGATACAGTACACTAGTGTGAAGTCGTGAGTTTTTGTGATCGTTTACGTACGCAGTTACAGAGAGACGGTTTAGTCAACGTCAATTCAATCATGGAGGAATAATTCAATTGAATTAGTAAACGTATATCAGTCCGATGACTTGACTAGTTTGTTTATAATTAGGCCTACACATATGCCTAGGATTAGCACAGTCAGTGTCTACCCAGCAGCAGTAGCGCACTCCTGTCCGGGACACTGCTCCAGTCCCGCAGCAGGTGAGTTCGCACGCAGCCTTATCCAGCTGACGGTAAAGATAGTAGGTTTCTACTACTAGCCTAGACTTGTCATGCCATGCCATCTTTGTCACATTAATTGTGCTAGTGCATTTTTTCCCCATAATAATAGACCATAGGCCCCTAGGCCTACTAATAATAGTATACTATAGGCCTGGTCCTATTAAAAACTGTCTAGGCCTAAATGTCTAAAAAATGCACTGTCTAAATAAAGGTGATGTGCTATAACACTACAGTATATCATCAGAGCCAACACCAATTCCTGTAACAATAAGATTATTATTGATATACTGTAGGCCTAGAAGCTAGGCTATACAACAATAATGCCCCATTAAATAATAACATGATGCATGTTACTCCAAACCTAACTTTCAGCTGTTGTTTAAATGTGGAATTCAAATAAAATATTATACATATATATTTTTGTAGGACAAGATATGTGATAGGCCGAAACATGACACTCTCCTCACATACTGTAGGTATTTGCCAGTCGCCATGATGAGACAAACATACCACAACATTTGCCATGAGTACAACCACCCAACATTGGCATCTACGAAAGAAGGTGGTACAAAGCATACAAGGACCCAGCAAGACGTTAGCAAGAAACACTGTGGTTGTTTGCTGAAACTTGTAATGAAAGCTATACACACAATTTAAGGTGAGCAAAAGAAAATTAAGTGAATATCTCATCACTGTTCAGCCAGAGTACATGAAACAAATATATTGGAATGGTAAAAAAATATCAGCATGGTGTGTCAGTTTTATTAAGAAACAACAATAATACATTACACACTAGCCGGCAGGAAGGCTTCAATCAAGTAATTAAAAAATCTGAAAATACTGTCAATTGATGAATGTCTTTTCAGATTAGTACATACTGTATCTCAGTATGGTATGTTATTGATAAAGCAGCAAATGGCAATGTTTGATAACATTTTTGATTTTTAACAAACCTGGTTTTGCATTATTGTAACTACTGTATTTATTCCTCAATAGGAGCAAATGACTGGATCAGATGGGTGTGATGCAAACAATTCCATCTGTGTGGACATGATGAAATGGACATGTCCAATCCATGGTTAGCAGAAGGTGGCGATGCTCAGAGCTCTGCAGCAAGTGATTGAATCCAAAATATTTCCAAAGAATTAAATTAAAATGATTTATCTAGTGATTTTTTTTTCTGAAGATATACTGAAATGCCACACAACTTAAGTTTTTGTTTTTTGCGCATCTGGTTTATATTGCAGCATCTGGTTTATATTGCATGCCAAATTTATAATAAATAAATAAATACTGTACCAGTATTACTGTACCTGTTTCACTTGCAAAATATCTTTAATATTATTAAATGGTATTATAATCCCATTCAGTAGTAATTCTTTTGATGCAAATATGTGACCCAGATTTAGAAAACAAATTGTGAGGATTAATTTTGAAATATGTAATGTGCTAAGCTGATAGTACAGTATGAAAATGTGGCTCAATATATACAGGAACAACTATTTTAATATATGGCTTTGTACAGTCTTGTGTAAAGTTATTCTATGAAACTGCTTATTTTTTTAATGTCTGGATTATGCCTATGTCTGCATGCTGATCAATTTGGTATTGGAATTTAAGAAAAAAGCTTCAATTTTTTGCTGTACACCATTTTTTGTTTAGTATTTTAAAATACAGTAGTTGAACTTGCCTATGTCATATCCAAAATGCCATTGAGAAATTGTTTGACCCTAACAAAATTTGACTTGCAATTACGGTAATGGAAAACACAACAATTCGGCATGTAAAATTAGATCGACTTAGAAATTATTAGAGTATATTATTAGTCGTCTTAGGCAAGTTGAACTGCACTGCTCTATTTATCATGTCCGATTGTCTTGTATTATTTACCATAGCCAAGATTTCTTCTTTCATGATGATATTCAACATCCATATTTTTGGTGCTTCACTTAGTTATTGTTGTACATACAGTAAATTCAAGACTACTGGTGTTATTAAATAAATATTTTGAAACACTTTATCATACTTGTACATTGCAAATAATTTATTACAAGTGTATTTTCTCACAGTTAATATAAAATTGTTTTACTGTACACAGATTAAAGCAGTCAGGTATTACAATATATATCACTGCATTTTACACACTCTATTTATTATCAAAATATTATATATATGGATTTATAGTTACTATAGTTTATACCAATGTAAAGAATAGGAAGATACAAAAAACATTGTACTGTACTTAACAACAAAATGTTCTTGAAATCAACTTTGCTGGCCTATCCACATCAATAGCAACAATTTCAATTACAGACTAGGTCTGGAAGGTTACACACAATTGACTGGTCCAGATATACAAAAGCTCTAGGCCTGTGCTGACAAAATTTCCTTCCATGAGTGATGAGATTTTCAAAAAAACAGAGCACAGTTGTCACATGAATTGTCAAGAATGAATCTATTTACATAAGATTAGTTGCATTAATGAGGATGGACTTATCAGGTATCTTCCATAACAATTTATAAATAATTCTTCCAACACAAAGTTTATTTCATCATCTATAGCATCAAAAAACCCAGGGCAGTCTTCACAGCTTCTTAAGAGACCTTCACAGCTTCTGGGAACTTGTCCCTAATCGCCCACACAGTGCAAGATGGGATGACCCTTCTGTCAGATTTCTTTAGCCTGTTAAACACCTACCAAATGAAAACCATTGATATCCAACATGTCATTTCCTGTAAGAAGAGAAGTACAATAAAAAGTTTGAACAGACTAGTTAAAAAAAAATCAGAGTGACTATTCTTACACCATTAAAAAATAATTAGTATTGATATTACAATGTCTTTATAAGGAATTAATCATTCTGGCACTAATCATCAATGATAATTTTTGTTGAATCTATATATTCTAATTAACCATCACTGTGAAAAGCCCATATTCAAATGCATTGCAAAGTGGTGTAACATAGCAATTATTTTATTAATATTAATAAACAATTATTTTGAATAGAATTTATTATTTCATTAATATAATACCTTTTTGTAATATAAAAATAAAAATTAGTTTAAAAATTACAAATAAAGATAAAACTATATATGTATAATAGACTATCTTGTTTCTCAATCTTTTCTAATGTACAGTAATAATAATTCCCCTATATTTTGACCATCAAAATGGCTGGACATTTGACCCTCTACTAGTTTTTGATCCAGCATGGAACAAGCAGTGCCACGCCTAAGGCGGGTGGTTATATTTCCGAGAAGAATGCCGAAAATTAGTCTTTGAACTAATCTGAATACTGTATATAACCATTGCCAATATTATGCAGAACTAAAGTTCTGTGCACATTTTTCCAAGCCATTTTCGGCGCTAGCTTTCAAGGCATCATCTACATTCCACGACGAATAAACTGGCATTTTAGTAATGCCTGTAGTAGTAGTAGTAGTAGTTGGTCCTAGATAGTTCCATGGATCTAATAATTAACATGTAAATTAATGCACTTTATTTAAAATAGTGTTGATTGTTTGTCTAATATTTGAAATATTATTATTATAGTTTGTATATGCCTAGGCCTAAACTAGGAGCCTGGGCCTAGGTCGCGCCAGGCAGTTAGTATTCCGTATTCTCTACATACATACAGTACTGCACTAAATGCTAGGCTATCCCTACACAGGTAAGACAAGTTGGTATTAAACAAACCTATTTAACGCCACTATTAAGATCACCACTTCCAAGACTTCCTTATCCAAACCAGCAAACATATCTTTTTGAAAGATTCATTCTTCAAAAATGCCTTCGACTTATTTTACTATTGTTATTGAATATTTTCGCCAGTCCTAATTTTTCAATTTTCCGCTCGCGACGACCATTCTCATCAGTTTTCTAATGTCGTTACCAGCTCGTTACGGTTGAGTGAATCAGCTGACTCCCTGTCTAGTGCAAATTTCCGAAATAAAAACTGGGGCAAATCGTTATTTTACACATAATTGAGACATTTTCATAAGTGAAAACCCATATAAATGAAAAGAACGGCCAAATTTACATTGGAATATCTAAAGTTTGACACGAGTTTTTATGGGGTTACCGAATGCAAGCCTTTGAAAGTCGGTAAAT